TAATTTTTCTTATATTTAAGATTGAGAATCATGAACAGCACAAAATTCAGTCATTCCAGATTGAAAATACTACAGTAAACTGAAATCTTCTGAGGTTGCTTGTGGGGAGATGGGAGTAGTGGTAGGAACAAAACTCACAGAACCGAGCGATTGACAATATGCCCCTTAGCTAGTGACACAACTGTTATTTAAAACAATTGATTTTTACATTAAAAGTCAATTGTTTACTTTTAAAGGGAACAAATGGACTAAACCAGGAAACAGAAATATGTGCGCATTTCCGTGAAGAACAGAACTATCGCCACAAGAGTTGCACAATACAAATACCTCCAGTTTTCCTGTCTTAGAAGTTTCCTCTGACTGACCTCCACACATATCTTCCAACAGAGTGTTACAGGGCTACCACAATGGTCCTATTTCCATACTCAGGTCACATTTACTTAGCACTGAGTGAAAATACGATGTTCAGAGGAGCAGTATACACATCAAACAATACATTGGTAAGTAGAATTCTTAACCTACAGTTTCAGCTGACATAATTGGTTGCTAAGGGCTTTGGGAAGAATTAAAAATCTAAAAATTGTTCCTAGAGTATCTCTCCCTGAAAGGTCTTGATAACAAAGCACCATTCTGCTGCAGCTTTAAAAACACAGGGGGTGAAAAAATACACTTCAACAGTCTTAACTAGGAACTAGACCTGGATGATCTTTGTTCTCCCATCAACTGTTCAATTCTTAATCTCCAGAAAGATTCTCTGAACTTCAGATTTCAGATTAAATGCTGATACAGGTGGTACCATTAAGAGACAAATCAATATGTAAACTCTAGATGGAGAGGTTAAAATCCCCCGGATTCCCCTTCAGTCTGACCCTATAAAATCTACAGTTTTAAAATCTATTTTAATAGTTGATTTTCCAGAGACCACAAGATTTATTTTTGCATATGCCCTTGATGGAATTAATGAGAGAAAGAGAGAAAAGCATATGCTTAAATGCCTGGGGGCAACTAGATAGAACAAAGGAAGATATTACAGTTTATTAACACAATTCCAATACTCACAGCATATTGCTTGCTCTCAATATTCCAGAAAGAATATGCATTATACAATCCAATCTCTGTAACTAATGTGCTTATAGCCTTTAAGAGGGTGATATTTACCAGCTAAATATTGGTCAAAATAGTAGCTAACATTTAGACATCTGCTTTAAAGAGAAGCATTTCTTCCACCTGCTTCTACAGGCCACAAAGATACACTCTAGTTAACATATTACTGACAGGATGATGAGAAAGCTCCTGTCAGACGCCGGCCAGCCGGGTGTTTGAGACAAAATACACAGCCCCAGCTGACTAGTTAAAGAAAGTCTGGTGAGGTACAATTATAGAGGCATATGACAAGACTTCATGCCTGACTGATTTGAGAACCAATGACATGACTTTAAACAGCAATATTCTCTACCTCTGGTCACAAAACAGCAATAAGTCAACTGATATACTCTTGTAATATCATGATTTATTCCTTTGCTTTGAATACATGAGACTTTGGTATGATGTTCTGCTAGTCTACTCGAGATTCTCTTGGGGCTTAAACATCTAGGGCCTGCCTACAGCATGTATAAAATCAATGTTCTTGTTCAGGACTACCAGGAACACTTCTGTGTATAGTTGATAATGTATATACCAATAGAATAAAGACCAAATTGTTTATGTCCCAATTCATAAAACTTAAACACAGAAAAATGTAATAATGGGTCCTGACAAAGTACCACACTTTAGTGGGCAGGGAGATGGGATCCATGGATGATGGGGATTAAGGAGGGCACTTGTGATGAGCACTGGGCGTTGTATTTCAGTGGTGAATCCTTAAAGTCTACACCTAAAGTTAATATTACACAGTATGTTAACTAAGTGGAATTTAAATAAAAACTTAAAAAAACAAAACAAAAAACACAACACTGTAATGGGGGAGGGGGGCTCATTAAAAGTGTGAAAACACACGACTCTTGGTACTTTTGCTAACATATTTCAAAATTAACTTTTTTTATTTTAAAGTTAATGTCTATAACTTACAAATTATAATTTTAACTACAAACAGCACCTAAGAAAAGACCTTTAAGTAAGCTGATTGATTCTCTCCCAGTGTATCTTCACGAAAACACCCAGCAACTATAAGGTTGACAAATATGGTTCTAATAAAAGAAGTTTTATTAAAGAGTAAACCCAAACAAACAAAATTCCTAAAACTATACATAAAATTATAGATCCAAAGACACCTTAAGTTACGTGTGCTCTTCCAATAGTTAAAATTTTGGCTGTAGACTTAAAAAATGAAAAAAGGGTAAAACACAATTTGTTGCATTAATACTAAATACAGTGTAGTCTTCAAGGCATATAGAATGAGAATGTAAAAAGCTTAAAAGTCAGTCAATTCATTGATACTTAACTATTCCTTCCTTGGGTGTTTCAGAGATTTCACTAAATTCTTCCTAAAATATAGTTTATTTCTAATTTATGTTATAGTACCAGTCTTTGACCTTAAATGTTACTATGCATAGGATTTACAGAAGATATAGAAATAGATATATGAATTTTTCCAGATAGATATAAGTAAAACAGCTTCCCCCACATAAGAAGGGTAAGGGGGTCATGAAAGCAAGCGTGAATTATGTTTCTTTTATCAGTACTACTGCCCCAGAGAATGAATTAAAACGAAGCTGGTAACTTAGAAGTGACATCACCATCGAGTTTTCATGAATTGTCATAAACAATTGGTAAAAGTTTACCTCAGACATAAGAAACAACTCCCTGAATAATACCAAGTCTTTATTAAAATAATTTTATTATTTAATTCAAATAAAGTGAAAGGGTAGGCATGTTAATTTTTACTCTAAACTGCAGAACTAGTCCGTTATAAAATTATAGCTAATAATCATTGAATCAACATTGAATGTTATGCAAATACAATTCTCAGCATTACACATATGTGTATATATACACATGTGTGTATATATACATATGTGTTTATATAGCTATACAGAGATAGAGATATCTCAATCTTTACAACAACCTATGAGATTATAACTATTACTACCATTCTCCCAGTTTACATGTGAAGAAATAGTCACAGAGAAGTTATCCAGTTATTAAGATGTGTTTATAAATTGCAATAAAGAGTAACACCACTATTGTATAGTAATCATATACTCAGATTTATTTCAAATGTTTTTGTAAATAGGGAAGCGTATATGTCCATTCGCATAGCTCACTCCTGCACTTCATTTAGATCTCTGCTCAATATTACCTCATTAAGAAGCTTTCCATGACCACCCTATATAAAACTGAGGCCTGCCCCTCACCTTTCAACCTGTACACACACTCTCCTTATCATTTATCCCTTGGTATTCATCATAATAAGACACAACAGCTATTTTCATTCAATTCTGTTTCATCTGTTCAATATACGTTCCAAGAGTGTTTGGACTTTGCTTACTACTGAATCCTTAGTGCCTACAAAGTGCCTACCATATAGCAGGTTTCATGACAAGAATTAGTTCCTAGGCCTCTGAGACAGTTTGTACAATCTTTGTAATCTTCAGGACAATATCCATATAGAAATATTATTTATAACCTTGAAAAAATCATGTTTAAAAAATAAGGAGGAAGAGAACAGGGAGAAGGAAAAATGGTTTTACCTTAACGGTAAATTAAAAATAGAAAATCAAATATATAAAAAGTCCCAAATGATTCAGATTACATTTCTCAATATCATTTGAAGAAAATGCAAATGACCTGTCAGGACTTGTGCTTGTTCTCTGACTGTACTACATCATGTCTCCATACTTACGCCTTTAAATGTACACAATGTGTTTTTCAATATGTAAAATAATGTATTTTCAATTTTTTTGGAAAAGTGGGTATATCAACATTGTAATTCAAAATCTCAAAACTGTATTTTTTCAAATAACGAGTAATGGAAATAAACCAGACCAGGACACTCAGCTTCACTCTACGTGTCTCTAATTAGCTATTTGGCCTTCACATGACCATTTAGTCTCTCTAAACATACATCTTTTCATTGTTGAATACTACATAGATATCTTAGAGAACTCCTAAAACTGCTTCGAACGTACTAAAACTTTACAGAATGAAGTTTTTTATTTTTACTATGGGAGAGCAAAACATAAAAACATTATCTTATTCTTATCAATTAACCAAATTTGTAAGGAAGCAAAGTCATGCAACACTAAATGTTTTTAATAAATATCTTGTTCATTACTCAAAATTATATTTACATTAAAAATTTTTAGTAAAAATATTACAATTTTAATACTTTGTAGAAAAAAGTTAGGACACCTAGCAAGATACTTTTGAATATTCTTCTCTGACCCAAGAAAACTCTTATTCTCACTGCCTTTACCACAATAGTGAAGACCTTCCAAAAGAACATTTCAGTGAGTAGCATAAAACCTGTGATTAAAAAAAACAGAATGGTACTCTGACTTTTAAGTTATTATCAGCCTGAAGAGCTCCTCCAAATGAGAACTATTATAGAATCTACTCCCAAACCACTACTTGGCAACAAAGATGAATCTACCTATTACCAGGTTAGGATAGCAGCTATTATCATGGCCCCTTGATTTCTTTCAAGTAGTTCCAATGGAAAAAGCCACAAGTGAATAATAAAGATCTCATAATAGCTCTTAAGAATTCTTTATATGGTAGAAGGCACTAAAATGAACTCTGGAGAGTTAAAAAGAAAAATAAAAAAAACTCTCATCTCCTGATAAGAAAAAATAATTAACCTGACTTAATGCATCTGAGAAGGCCTTCTATAAATCAGACTTTTGTACTTCAAGAGCCAGATTAAAACCATATATCAAAAAAGTATGTAGATATTGTCTTGTTAATACACATAGAACATTTCTAAGTCTGCAGAGGTTCGTAGGTCTTTTTGTGAAATGCTCAACACGTTCCACTTAAAAGGAGAAGTGTGAAGTACTTACAGTGCTTAATTTGCTAGAGGTAATAATGACGCGCCTCTCATGCAACATGCTGGCGTATAGTTGCAGCATATTATTCACATCCACGGCAACAAAATATTCTGTAAGATTTCTCTGTACAAGTGAAGAGTGATTGTGTAAGTTATAGCTCATGGTGATTATGAAGGAAAATATTTTATACATTTACCAACAAGTCTTAAGGTTCAAAGAAGGTTGTTATTAAAAATGGTATTCATTAAAATAATTAAATGTGATACTATCCTGCTGCCACACGAAGCACGTAACATTCTATTATTATTTGAAACATAATCCTACCCCAGGAAAATGCTTCTCAGAGGGCAGTCAGAGGATCACACATTTTCCACTCTCCCTCCCCAAGTACTTATAAAAGAAGCCCATTTCCTGGGCTCCAATTGTAAACCTGCTGAATTTTAATCTTCAGAGTATGGCTCCAAGAATCTGTTTTTTAAAAAGGTATTCCTGATAATTCTTATATACACTGAACTTTGAGAACTGCTGTTCCAGAAAATACATTTGAGTCTTTTTATGTTTGCCAATCACTCAGCAGACGGCATCATTGCGTGATACTATGTACTACGTACAAGGAACCCAGAGGATGAGATGGATTCATAAAGCAGATCTTTGGTCCTTTATTAAGGAAAATTCCTTTATATTCCATGTCAGACCTGCTCTATTCCACCATAACCAAATTAATTTGGGGGTTAGCCTAATTTGATTCCTTGATATAACACTTCATATTATTTCCCCCACATACAAACAAAATTGGGCTAATCTACATTAACTTTGACATTCAGATCCACTCTTTCTTACTTTTAACTTTCTGTACTCAAACTTAAGCATATCAGAAAGTTATAAAGTAATGAAGAGACTGAATAAGATATGATAATCAACTGAAACCGTAGTACCAGGTAGACTATGACTTAGAAGGCCTAAAATTTTTTAGTTGGGCAAGGAAACAAGAAATCTAATTTTCTTCAATTTCCAAAAGGCAGAAATTCTACCAGGACCAACTAGTAATGGCAGGGTACCTAACAAAAACTATAATATCAGTGAGTGATGCTGAATTTAGTGGGGAGAAATTCATTTCTTGTGTTGTGTATTTGAAGACTACCTTACCTTCCAATTCAACTCTTCATATACAAAATTACTTTTATGGCATTTAACATTAGTATTTTTCCTATAATATCAAAGAATGTAATTTCTAGATGGAAAAATATTTCTCAACACAGAATGCTGTGTTGATAATCTATTTCAGGCCCACATTCCAAACAGCTTCATCTAATCTTTTCACAGGACTTATCTGGACGCATCTGTACTAAAAATACCACTGACAGTCTTGGTTTGATATTGGAAAATTCACAACTGTCTTCCTAGATTCCACTCACTCATAACCCATGTACTTTTGGAAACCAAACACTTAGTAGGTCTGAAAACATTTTGGGAAGAACAATAGAGTTCTAAAAAAAATAATAAATATTTCTGGAGTGTTTTTTCCTGTTTTTGATGTATCTTTTACTGTTCATAGAATTATTTCCACTGATTCACTGTATCTTTCCAAGGGAAGTTGAAAAAAATTACATAAGAGAAAATTTCCTTTTCACACAGCAACCAAAAGCGTCTTTGTCACTTCTACCTGCCATGTAAATCTTTCTACAGAAGATTAATTTGTAATAACTACTAAAACACTGGAAGTATTTCTAACATGGCTACAATTAGAACTCTAATTAAAATGTAAAATTTAGCAATAATTTCTTATAGTACTCCTCAAGACCTACAAAATATGTATCACTTAAATTAAAATCAAGAAACCAAGCCCAGGACAGTAAGATTTTCATAGAATCATACAAGTAATCTAAACTGCTACAGTCAGGTCACTAAAGAAACCATGTGTGTGAAAATATTTCCCATTGCCAGTATTCATCCCCCTCCACCCAAGTAAGATCATCTGAGATATTTCTTCTACATGATCCGGGGGGGGGGGGGGGGGGGCGGTCTCAGGACCTCACTGATTACATATGATCCTACCAAACTATCTCAATGGTAGAAACAGTTTTTCCGATAAAAATTTCCTTACCTACAACCAAATATTTAGGAAGTAAAGTAGCAGACACAATAAAGATAAAACAGAGATAACACCATTATTCCTTATTCCTTCATTATTTCTAATAAAAAATGGAGAGTTACAACATATTATTTTCTCTATACAGAAATTCTTAAATGGCGAGGCCAAAATAAAATTCATAATATGAGTAGCAAAAAAAACATAGAAAACAGAAAACTTACACTCTCAGGAATTGTTGGGAGTCCAGTTACATCTGGGGCAATGAAGTAGGAATGCTAATAAACAGAAATAAATCACATAAGAAAAGCAGAATTAAAATTCGGTAGCATTACATATAAGAAAAAATAACAAAAATATCAACTAAATTAATAAACATCGAGGATTAACATTCAGGATTTACTGAATTTGAGAGATTCTTAAATAAGACAGCAGGTCTATGAGACTGAGCAGTAACTTTCTCATACAAAGAATTAAGTGTTCATTAAAATTATTTAATTTCAAAATTGAAATAATCCTGGAAAAAATTTATCAAGACAAAAATGTATACACACACACACACACACACACACACACACACATTTAGAGAGAGTGGAAAATAATGAGGTTTGCTTACACAAGAATAAATCAAAATCTATTAAGATTGCTGAGTTTCTATGATAAATCACAACAAATTTCTCTCGTACATATCAGCTACTATATTACAGCTACTATATTATTTAGAAATACTATCTTATTTAGAAAGCAGTAATAGAATATAATTTTTAAACATTAAAAAAATTTTAATGTGATTATCTCAAAATATGAGCCTCATACACCTACTAAACAAACAGTAATTAGCTTCTGTATTAAAGCAATACAACAGTTCATAGATCGACTTATATGAAAAGCATATTGTATATTTCTTCATGTTCCCCAGAATGTTCCCAAATTTTACCACCCAAAATCAGCACAACTGAATCACCAAAGTTGTTTTATTTTCTGTTCATATTAATCTCCAAAACTGTTTTAGTACCTTAATCATATAAGGACATATTTAATGCCATTTTATAGTTAAAGATTGGAAAAGAAACATTCTGGCCAATATTGGGCACAGTTGAACTAGTCAGAACAGGCTAGTTAGCATAGTCATAATGTATAATTTTCCAGGGTAGAAGAGCAATAGGAGATAAATCACAAGGTCTCCTGAGACCTTGTGACAAAAATGTGACAGAAATCTCATGCTGTGAATGCACTGTAACATTACTACTACTGACAATGGAGAATATGCATACATTTGGTCTTTATTATAAACTACTTTTATTTAGAGGGCTTTTTAATAGTTCTGCATTTCATAAAACTATGCTTTAAAAGATAGTATAAACAGAAAATATGCTCCAAATGATTAATTTTCTTAAATGAGTCAAATTAACCATTTTTCAAAGGACTGGAGTGCATCTTAAAAACACAGTGAAAGAAGTCATTATTGTCTCAATTTAATAGTGATTTTTAGAACCCATTGTCCTTTTAACTCACCGGTACTAGGAAGGGCTGATCTTTCAGAACTTGCTCACTGGCAATAAATATCTCTTGGTTCTTATAATATATGAGAGAAAAAATGAATATTTTACTTTCATGGGGGGAAGTTTACACAATTTGCTGTGTATTTGAGACAAACCCATGTAGCCACACTATCCACTGAAAGTAACACTAATTATAAATGTTATTTTAAATGCTGCTTTGCTCATTTTATGCTAGAAAAATCTTAAAGAAGTATTTTCATTCTCAACTGAGAGTAGAAAATCCTGTAGATATTTAGTTATTTTGAAACATAAAAATAAAAATTTACATGAAGTATTAACTTTTCCTTCAATCTCAGTGATTTTCTAGGGGTTACAGTGTCAAGTCTTGAAAAATTCATGTGCTGGAGCATTCACGAAACATGAAATTGTAAGAAAGTATAGCAGTTTCCCAAGACTTTTCACATTTTTCTATCAGAAATTGTACAAACAAACAAAATTTTCTTTCTACTTTGTGAAGGAACAAAAATTCTCAGGATGATCAATTTTAATCGGGCATCATAAAACAAAAACCGCTACTAGTAGCTGAAGACCAGTGTTTTTAACCCCAATTTTGCCACTGATGAAGAGCATAGCACTCACTGGACCTGGTACGTCAGTAATCTGTTGTTGAAATCAAATGAAATTACTAAATGGACTTTACCTGAATTTGAGGCAATATTCTATCAACCAGCTGATTTTGCAGTTCTTTAGATATTGTATTGAGAAAAGGTATACAAGATTTTAAAGCTACCCTAGACTACTGATTCAAAAGCTTACAAGAAGGCTTAAATTACAGAAATAACTGTCATACATAGAATAGGACACACTCAAGTTCCCTAAAAAGATTATTTCAGCCACAATATAAAATATCTTCTCCATATGAAATAAAACTTCAATTCACTAATAAGTAATATTTGTATAGCTTTTCATGGTATCTAGATATGTCATTTCATGTAAATCCCCAAACAACTTTCTCAAAAATGGACTCATTTGATTTCTCAAATGAAGAAAAAGAATCCTCAAAAAGTTTCAACTTTTTTGCTTAACATCATACATTTAGTAACCAGGACTTAAACCAGTATCTTCTATTCTTAGGTTTCAGAGGCCTAGTAGTTTTTGGATTTACGATTCTTACCAATAAAGGTGAAGTGTTTCGATATCCAGTATTTTTGAAATGTATTTTCATAAGATATTTACTCCTAAACAAATGATACTCAAATTTAAAGAGTTCATTTTTAAAATCTCTCATTAATGCTCTAAAATAGCTGCCTCTATTATCTTAGAACCTACACTTCCTCAACCCCTTAACAAAGTGTTAGAATCATTTTATAAATATAACTCCTTCAAATAATGACACTTATTTTTGGTAATTCGGAGCTTTTCTTTTTTCTTGGTATTTTTCTTTGGCCTTTCTACTTCATTCCCACTAGCCATACATCTTGTATTCCTTTGGCTTCAGTGACCTACAAATCTGAGTTTCTCCTTAGCTTTCTCTCGTTCTTTCACTCAATCTGCTTTCTTCTTCCATACAGTCTATTTGGGCAATTAGACCTGAGCCTGTGCTCTATTCTCTCTATAGTCTATCCTTTGAATAGCCCAAGCATTTCTACAACTATCTCTGCACCTGACTCTCATATCTGGGTTAAAAATTCCAGGTTATCCTTAGCTTTCCAGCCCCCAATCTCCAAATGACTGCTAAACAATTCCACTTTGGCGGTGAGCGAGGAAAGAGGGTGCAGACATAAAGGTGTGGAGATCACAGGGGAAAAAGAATACTTTCAGCTGTTAACAGCAAAGGAAAGTTTCACAGAGGTGGGAAGTGGCTAGTTCTAGACTAAAGATGGATAATCTACAAAGAGGCTTTAGTGAAAAAGGAAGGTGTACAAGTGAGAAATCACGAGGTTCATTTGAGAAGATGAACAGAACAATGTGACCAGAGAAGAAAATCGACTTAGAAAAAAAAACAAAAAACAAAAAAACAAAAAGTAAGACAAAAATGAAAAGGTAGACTGAGGCCAAGAAGTGGGTGGTCCTGACAACCCGGCAGAGGTTTGGACAAATTCTATAGAAAATGGGAAGCTTTTAGGTTTTCAGCAGGAAACTTTATATAGCTGAAGGAAGTTTAATCTAACAGACTTTTGTACAAAGGACTAGAAAGAGAGACTCTAGACTAAGAAGTATTTAAAGTACTAAGCATCTGAACTATAGTGGTGACAGTAAAAATAGAACAGAATAATGTCAGAGAATACTACTGTTAAACAAAATTACAGGAAAAATTTAGTCAAGAAGAAAGTTATTACCAAATAAGGAATAAAATGAAAATAACAGTTTCTTTATTGTGCAAAAAAGCACATGACCTATGAATTTGTTTATACATACTTCAATTTACTTTTTCTTTCAATTTTTCTTGCATCATTATGTATTTTTTTCTTCCTTAAAAATCACACTGTTTATCATATTGGAAGAACTAAAAGGAATATAAATTAATTTTAACACTTTATTTGGATCCCAAATATTAATGAAAATATCCACATTTGTGATAATTAACTTTGACCATTTACAAAATCTCCCCAAATACTAGTGTGATCATTAAAAGTTTCAGTAGTAAATACTCTATACCATCACTGGCTTCCTGTTTGACAAACTTCAATCACATTTTCAGTGTTTGCTGATCATACTAGAAGATGGGTTGCAGTGTAGGGAAATAAGAAGAAACTCTTCACCCAGTATTTTTATCATAGGGTTAGTTGTAGAGCATAGTGGCAATACTCATTTATATACCGTTTTCATTTGATGCGGGGTATTGTGAATATGTGTGTGTGTGTGTGTGTGTGTGTGTGTGTGTGTGTGTGTATTTCCTATTATGGATAGATTTCACCCAAAAATCAATGTTCCTCACAGATTACTTTTAGTGTATAGTTTTTAAATATCTGTGATTTAACAACTACAAAAATACACACCCAACATATATTATGATAGCTGGAACATATCGAAAAGTCCCAATATCACCATAGTAATGTCATTACTACAATTAAAGTTCCCAGGTAGCAGAGTTTCTTAAAGGCACATGTGTTCCTAAATGAACCTGCTAGGACTCAAAAAAAATCAATTAATAGCTAAATACTTACCACACTCAAATTGACAGGAGTGTTTGCCTTTGGTACTGGGTGGTTATAGAGTGATTTGAGAGTTTCATTCAAATCATTCTCCTAGAGTAAAATTTAAAAGTACAATTTATAAGTGAAATACATACTAAGCAAATATAATTAAAACTACTGGAGAAAATCATGCACTGTGCCTTCTCATATTAGACATGTTTTACACAACTGCTTTCCACAAGAATGTTTCAAATAACTGAAATTTAAATATTTAAATTAATAAATATGGAAAAGATAACCAAATATATTTATCCATAAAGAATACTAGCAATATCTCTAATTAGTATAAATCTGTATTTGGCAAAACTTCATTATTATAAAATATACTGATGCTATCTATAGAGGAAATCATTTAAATCATTAAATCCAAGCAAAATGGGATTGAATAAAAATGGCAATATAACTTTTTACCAGATTACTGAATGCTTCCATTTTCCATTTTAATTTTAAAATCTTAAACCTAATTTTTAAGGAACAGATACAATGTAGCATGATCACTGTACTAAGATACAATGTACAGGTTACTCTAAATAGGTCTTTTCTGAACAGCTACCAGTCAGTCACTACTTGACTCACAATAAATGGGATTAAAAATATATATATACGACACATCCACCCTGTAGGATGTACACAATAACAATGCACTTTGATATGCACATTCGCTTTTTCTGCATTATACATATAAACCCAGGAATACATATATGAAGGTAGTTTTTATATACATGTTTTTTATTCTCTCTTAAAATGTGTATGTGGGGGCAATATACCAAAGGAAATGGCAATTATTCAAAATAGGTAATAATTAATTTTAAGGAATTTGGATATGAGACACATAACTTCACACAATTTATCATATAACTACCAAAACTTAATAATTCTGATTTCGTGTTTGTAAAGTGTACATACAAAACTGCCTATTAGAATTCTCTTTAGAATGACTTTAAGAGAACAGACTATAGAATTTATTTCTTGACCATTTAAACAATGAAATATATCCACAAAATATTCTGGATAATATTAATCCCTGTCTAACAAAATTCCTATGGCTAATGAAGTTTTTTTAAAGTCCAGTTTTCAAAATTACCTTAAACTTGCCTGATGCTGATCAGGTAAGGGTAACTTCAATTATAAAATCTAAATATCAACCTACAAAGCCTGTGGCATTGGGTTAAAAAGAAAAAGAAAAAATATAACAGTTATAGATT